TCGATGTGACAGACTATATCTACTTGACTGGCTAGTACCACCTTTACGTGATTTTGGGGCCTTAACGGCCCTCCGTTTTCCCTTTTTCATTTCCGTTCCCCACATCCGCCAATCTTGTCCAAGCGCGTTCCTATATGTACCAGTAGATCGACCGGTCGCTTCTCTTGCCCGGTGAGAATGTCGATGACCTCGATTCAGCATTTCACGCGTTCCTTCTCTCCTTTTTCTTCAGGTACCCAGCCGGTCGGAATGGCGCAATCTCAGACGGTCGGGCTGGATACGCTCGCCGAGGGTTCGCAATACGCGCTGGAGCAACTGCAGCTGTCGCGAGAAGCCAATGGGGCCAGCGCCGTTGACGGCGGAGTCCCTAACCCTCTTAGAAGCTCAATTGCCAAACCCCATGGCCAGCAGCTTTACAGCGACGAACCCTCCACCCAGCATACCCAGAATGCAACCACCGGGCTCAGAAACCTGCCTCAACGAGACCAACTGGCAGAGGCTCGCTCAGCGATCCGCAAAAGTTCAAACTCCGGTCCCGTCCGCCGAAGAATCAGTCGCGCATGTGATCAGTGTAATCAGCTTCGGACGAAATGCGATGGGCAAAACCCATGTGCGCATTGCATTGGTAATGATTTCTTTATTCATTGCGCGGTGCTTTAGATACTGACAATTCTTGAGCAGAATTTGGCCTGACTTGTGAATATGCTCGAGAACGCAAAAAACGTGGCAAAGCATCTAAAAAGGATCTCGCTGCGGCTGCCGCCGCCGTAGCTAACAATAGCACCGCACCGACGTTAAATGGCAATACATCCAACGATTCTGCATCGTTAGCTAAACGGCACACCCCTCCGGATGGTCAATCAACGCAAGAGATTAGCGGGAGGTACGATCCGACCTTTGATGCCGCCCGAAACCTGACGACAGCAGGACAGTCGCAATTAGGGCAGCACTCCGATGTGTCAGGAATGGCGGGGATGCAGGGCTCACAACAGACCCCACACCCTCGGCCATCTTTAGGTGGTGCAATCGATGCCATGCACTTGAATCACTTCAACACTCTAAATGATTCCAACCGGCCACAGATGTCTGTTCCCGACCTTCGTTCATTGCAGATGCTACATCCATCCGGCGCAAATGCCCGGTCTCCATCGGGGGCATTGCCACCTCAAGGGTTGAATTCCGGCTATAATGACAGCGCTTATTCTCTCATGAACGCGCCAGAAGCAAATCACCCATCGATCAACCAATACCGACTCGGGAACTCTGCGGAAAATCCCCCGGCGCCTTTTCTAGGCTTATCACCCCCGGCGCAATCGCCAGGATGGCTATCACTTCCTTCTCCCTCCCCTGCAAATTTTGCTTCCTTTAGCATGCCTCCATTTTCCAGCACGTTGCGGTACCCTGTCCTCCAGCCCGTCCTCCCTCATATCGCCTCGATCATTCCTCAGTCATTGGCCTGTGATCTTCTCGATGTCTACTTTACTAGCTTCTCCCCTTCCCACCTGTCGCCACAATCTCCATATGTGGTCGGGTACATTTTCCGAAAACAGTCGTTTCTCCATCCCACAAAGCCAAGGGTATGCAGTCCTGGCCTATTAGCTAGTATGCTATGGGTTGCCGCGCAAACGAGTGACGCGGCGTTCCTGACATCGCCGCCGTCGGCTCGAGGCAGAGTATGCCAAAAGCTCTTGGAACTTACGGTTGGCCTACTCCGGCCGCTGATCCATGGCCCCGCCCCCGGGGAAACATCTCCCAACTATGCTGCTAATATGGTCATTAACGGTGTGGCTCTGGGCGGCTTTGGCGTCTCCATGGATCAACTTGGCGCGCAAAGTAGCGCAACAGGTGCCGTCGATGACGTGGCTACGTACGTTCACTTAGCGACAGTGATCTCTGCCAGCGAATATAAGGCAGCTAGCATGCGTTGGTGGACAGCAGCATGGTCTCTCGCTCGCGAATTGAAGTTAGGACGCGAATTGCCGCCAAATACGTCCCAGCCGAGACAGGACGGCGAACCTGAGGACGATACAGATGTCGACATGTCAAAACGTAACCTCCCTCCTCTTGTTACATCAGTCGGAGGTGGCTCTGGAAGCACGATTCTCAATGTCACTGAGGAGGAACGAGAAGAACGCCGGCGTCTTTGGTGGCTGCTCTATGCAACAGATCGCCACTTAGCGCTCTGCTATAACCGCCCTCTGACATTACTGGACAAGGAGTGTGAAAATCTCCTCCAGCCGATGAATGATGACTTATGGCAGGCTGGCGATTTCGCTGGTGCCACTTACCGGCAGGTAGGCCCCCAGGTAGAGTGTACGGGACACAGCATGTTCGGTTTCTTCCTACCCTTGACGACAATCTTGGGTGAAATTGTCGACCTCCAACAAGCAAAGGAACATCCCCGGTTTGGTCGCGTCTTCCGGAATAGTGCAGACTGGGACCACCAAGTACTGGAGATTTCCCGTCAACTAGATACATATGCTCAGAGTCTGAAAGAATTCGAGGCTCGTTACACTAGCAGCTTAGCTCTTGGAGCTGGGGAAAGTGAGGCCGCTATTGAAGGATCACATTTGGACCATGTGAGCCCATCGGGCCGGTCGACTAGTACGGCTGGGTCACGGGTGAACGAGTCCATCGTGCATACGAAAATGGTAGTCGCCTACGGAACCCACATTATGCACGTTCTACACGTCCTGTTGGCCGGGAAATGGGACCCTATCAATTTGCTTGAGGATCATGATCTCTGGATCTCTTCGGAGTCGTTCATAGCCGCAATGAGTCATGCAGTCGGCGCTGCTGACGCTGCTGCTGACATATTGGAGTACGACCCAGATATAACTTTTATGCCCTTTTTTTCGGAATATATCTACTGCAGGGTAGTTTCCTGCTACTGCTGGCAGCCGATAAGCTTCAGGGTGAGGTCAGCCCTAGTGTAGTCCGCGCATGCGAGACGATTGTTCGTGCACACGAGGCTTGCGTCGTGACACTGAACACCGAGTATCAAGTAAGTTTTACCTTTAGCCCCTACACATTGATAGATGTCTAATACTTTTATCTCTCAGAGGACATTCCGTAAGGTCATGCGTTCGGCTTTAGCGCAGGTTCGTGGGCGCATGCCTGAAGATTTTGGTGAACAGCAGCAGCGTAGGCGAGAAGTGCTAGCCCTCTACCGCTGGACCGGTGATGGCAGTGGTCTTGCACTATGATGAACGCCACCGCCATCAAATAACACTTTACCTGCATCTCTGCCATCTGCATAGCTGGCAAATCTGACGACGTGATGCGATCTCATGACATTTATTAATCGAAAGAGGCCCGGTCAGCCTCGGGGTTCAGGAGTTCAAATGGCAGCCTAGTGTATGGCTGGGTTACTGCTTCCTTTCTTTTTCGTTAGTCTCTCGACTTGTCTTTTGTTGGATATTTTCGCTTCTCGCCAGGTTCGTTGTATCTCGAAGTTTGGCTCGGCACGTATTTTGGTCAAGTTGGCGCTTCATCCGAGGGACGGATAGGGCCCCTATGATACACTATTTTCAATATATAGTGTTCGCCATTTGGTTTTTCGTCTATTGTTGATGCGATCTGTACACTATTTCCCCTTGTACTGTTTATATCACGGCTTGATTTCTACAGCAGTATATTTTAGTATATATACCCACATTTCAAAAGTCAATACATGTTAATAATGCACACATATTGTCCTGCACCTCGAAATCATATCCTATATATAGTGCCCCTGCCGCAACGTCAGGATTGTGGTAGCCAGAGGGTACTGCACTCCAGGGTGGAGATTCCTGATTGCTTTGGGGCAATCTCAAGAACCAGCTGCGTCTCACATGCCTGGCATATTGTATATGTATCTCCAGATGGTTGGTACAGTCAACGGCGCACTTCGTCAACGCTAAAAATACGTATATTATCTCTTTTTCAACTCCATATTCTAACAAAATACCACATAAACCGAAAACTCAGTTATCCTAACCATCTCCTAAGCACCAATAGAACTAGTGCATAACAAAGTCCATGCCCCAAGCAGCGTACTACTAGACTTAATCAGAAGATGATGATTCGCTCATGTCTCCCGATTACTCATAAAGACCAAGCGGATACTTCGTGCGTAGCTTATTGGCAACACCTCGCCATTGAAATAGTCATAACCTTTGGGAGTCATAAAGTTGAAGCGGATACCTACATCCAGTCTTCGGCCGCAAACTTCCATGAGATCAGCCATTTCATAATCGTCCCAGACTCTGTCCATATTGATCAGTAGTAAATTACCCCTGTAATCGCGGGCAATGAGGGCAAGTCGTAATAGTGCTTCGAGTAATTCTCGCTTTGGAATGCCGTGGGTATTGACTTGAATAGTGGTTAGGGCTTTATAGGTGCTGAGGTTGGGTTGGGCTTGGGTGGCATTTTTGCGAGGGTCAGTGTGGACAGTAGAGTGCCACTTCGGCTTTAGGTATGCTAATAGGCATACTTATGAGCTCTTTTCTGGGTCGGTAAAATCATCTCGTAGTGTCTCTATAGTACGCTGGCTCTTTTGAGACTAAATTCATAGTGATGGGGTGTATTGGTCTACATTATAAGTGAAGCTATCCAAGAGCTTAGCATGTCTTTAGGCCTGAGGCATCAACTCTTCTTTATCAATTAGCTCGTGTATGTGGAGAATACCGTAGTATGTGCATACACAGTGTAGTACCGGTTTCTGGGGCCAGCACTAGTCAGACCTTGCCAGGTGTGTTTAAGTTGGTACCTGAATTATGCCAGTACTGGTAGTAGTACCTTAGTGGATAGATATGAGACAGCAAAAGAAACGCTCCAATAATATCGAATGTGATTAGGTTGTTCCAAGTAACTATGACGCAACTGCTGAGATAAGCTCTTTATCGACGATAAGGACCACCATATGTATCCCTCGGATCTCGCCATCTTTCACCCTCCACCTACCTTGTCTCTTTGCAAATCAACGAGATGGGCGATTACCCCGGAACTCATGCTGAATTATGAATCGCCTAAGCAGATCTCTTTGTCAATTATCATCTCGCCATTTCCGTCCACGACCTTCTTTTGCCCCTCTCGTTGTGAAACGGCATATAGGAATTCCGCCCGGCTTTCTGCTCGATGAATATATCCCACGCTACCAGCTACTCACATCCATAGATGCTTCGAAGAAACGCTCTCTCGCATATGCGCATCTACGGGAATGCAACTTATGTCCACGTCGTTGCGGAGTAAACCGCTACGAACAAACCGGGGTATGTCTCATCGGTGCTGAGACAGTCAAGGTCAACACGATCGCACCACATCGTGGAGAGGAACCATGTATTCAGGGATTCAATGGGAGTGGCTCCGTTTTCTTTTCAGGATGCAACCTGCGCTGTGTGTTCTGCCAGAATCATGTATGTCTTACCTATTTCCCCAGCGACAGTTCTGTATTTCTCAGATCAACACGCTAATCGAGACTCCTTAGGACATCGCCCACCAACGAAATGGGTTCGACTTAACTCCCGAAGAACTAGCAGATTGGTTTATGAAGCTTCAGCAAGTTGGTAACTGCCATAATATCAACCTAGTTACGCCGGAACATGTTGTGCCGCAGGTTGCGCTCGCGATTCTGACAGCACGCGATATGGGTCTCAATATTCCTATTATTTACAATACGTCGTCGTTTGATTCTCTCGAGTCTCTCGAGTTACTTAATGGCCTGGTTGATATTTACTTGCCTGATTTCAAGGTGTGGAAGAATAGTACGTCGAAGCGGTTGCTCAAAGCCGAGGATTACACTGAGACGGCGATGGAGAGCATAAAGGCCATGCATGAACAGGTCGGTGATTTATGTTTTACGTCGGATGGCCTTGCTAAGAAGGGCGTCTTACTACGACATTTGGTTATGCCTGGCAAGGAAGACGAGGGTCGAGAGATTATGCGCTGGTTGGCAGAAAATGTGTCCAAGGATCTCTATGTGCATATCATGGAGCAGTATCACCCGGATGCACATGTAGGGAAAAGGAAACGAGCGACGAGGAATGCAAAAGGCGACGGAGAGGCTGAAGTGCGGTATGCAGACATCAACCGCGCGGTCCGCGATGATGAGCTCGGCTGTGTCAGGGATGCTGCCGTTGCAGCTGGGCTTTGGAGGTTTTGTGAGGCGAATGAGAATAGTTCCATGTTTCATCTGTGAGCCTTGGTTCAGTACCGGATAAGGAGACTTGAACATGGCTATTACAGACAGATATCTGTCGAGACGGAGGCGCCAGTCATTGGTAGTTTCACGTCGAACACAACCGTCTTTTTCCACCTATCCAGCCTCTCAGTAGATGGGAGAGGTTACTTGGTAGCTCTGTCAATTATGGCATGACAGAGACTTCAGGCGATGCTTATACGAAGCCGGATGGTATGCATGTGTAGCTGCCACAAAGGTCAGCTATACAAGTCAGCTACGAAACTTCGGTAAGATAGCCGAAGATGACATCGTTGATGCTTGTATATAATTAAACGCAGAATTTCTATAACGAGCAATAGAAATTCGCTGTATTGTATTACAATATCGAGAAACCTAGCCATTCTAGACTTAAAAGAGGACCCGTGAGGGCAGACGATCGGACATGAGATCCGCCGATGACGCCGACCCACGACCCACCAGGGAGCTCAGCTACTAGTTTTATTTAACTCCGCCCCAGCTCAGCTAATCACCTTTAGTTGTAGGCTATTGTTCCATTTTGACAAAGACAACAACTCAGCCTTATACAATTCTTTTTCCTTCATCCTTTCACCACCCAGTGATAACAGATCATGCTATAACCCCTCCAGCTCAACCTCCACCAATAACACTGAAAACCAAAACCACGTTGACGAAAATGAAACCAATAATCGCCATCCCAGCAATAATAGCCCTCGTCCACCGCGCCTACTCCCGCAAATCTCTCACTCCCCTTGGCCTCGCAACAGCAGCTCTAACAGCAACCGCCCACGCGCTCCACCCCTGGTCAACGCCCTTCGCCCTCCTTGCCGTCTTCTATTTCGGCGGCACAAAAGCCACAAAGGTACATATACATCGCGGGGTCGGAATGCGAACACGGGACCTACCCCATGAACTCTCAAAATGATTAAGGTGTACAGGCAGCTAACCAAACCGGTCGCCATCTAGGTTAAACACGATATCAAAGCTCAACTAACCCTCTCCGCGACCGGATCGGAAGGCGGCGAGGGCCAAAGAACCCACATCCAGGTTCTGGCGAATAGTGTCGTCGCGACTGTGCTTATTCTCCTCCATACTTATGTTCTGAGGGGGTCGTCGGCAGAGTGTTTTGAAAATGGTAGGAGTGCGGCAGATTTGTTGGTTGTGGGGATAGTTGCGTATGTTCCTCCTTTTTCTCGTTATTTGATTCTGGATGAAGATGGGAAGGCCAGTACATGCTAACGAAGATAACCACAAAAACAGCAACTACGCCTCCGTAGCAGCCGACACCTTCTCCTCCGAACTGGGCATTCTATCGAAATCCAAGCCCCGCCTGATCACCTCGCCCACACTACGGGTCGTTCCACCGGGTACAAACGGCGGCGTAACAGCGGCGGGTCTTTTGGCCGGCGTGTTTGGTGCATTTACGGTCTCTTTGGCGTCCGCTGTGCTTTTGCCGTTCTGTGTGGAGTCCAGTCTTACAGATCGTGTGTATTGGACGCTTGCATTTACCGGCTGGGGCACGTTGGGGAGTGTTCTGGATAGTGTTTTGGGGGGCTTATTGCAGGCGAGTGTTGTTGATAAGCGGACCGGGAAAGTTGTTGAGGGAGAGGGCGGGAAGAAGGTGCTTGTTCATCCTCATCCTAGGGCCGGGGGTTCTACGGGGTATTCGAGTGCTTCTGCTTCTGCTTCTGGGTCCGTACACCAGAGGAAGGGGGAGAAGGGCGGCGTTGAGACCTTACATGAGAGTCGGAAGGTTGAGAGTGGAAGGGATTTGTTGGACAATAATGCTGTTAATGTTTTGATGGCGTTTATTATGAGTGTGGGCGCTATGGGAGTCGCGAGTTGGGTTTGGGGTGTTTCGGTTTTCGATCTTGGGGTTTTAGGTTAATTGGTTTTGTATTATTGGATGTGCGATGTCTGATTATGGGATTATGTTGCTATGCAAGGATGCTATCAAGTTGATGGGTTTAGTACATGAAAAAAGAATGATATGCCCTAGCATGGCAAGAGTAGCAGCACTGAGTTATAAGAGCAGCCTAGGCAGCTACGAGCGAGGAAACCAGCCTTTCGTGGTCGTGGATTTACCCTTCATCTTCATATAGATAGATAGACTCCCATTTCTGTGGAGGGGCTAATAGACATTAATCAGGCGTGTGCGCTATACCAGGTCCCGCAGCGGGAGAATGCGAGAGTTTTCTGCAGCAGTGAGCCATTGTCATATCCCAGCCCGAATATTTCCGTCTCGTAAGTAAGATCTTAGGGGGACCACGGCAGTGCGGAAGAGAATATTTGATGATCGTTTCTACCTATATCCTCGGGCTTTTTTCTCCTCTCGCCTGGCCTTGGTAGTGTAGTCACAAAGGTCTCTGTTTGTCGATTCTTGTCATCATGGCAGCGCTTCTGGTACTGTGCTATCCTTGGTGATTAACTTAATTTTGTGAAGAGGCTGTCGCTGGTGGGTGGGGGGAGGGTGGGGGGGGAAGAAAGCCTCGATGTTGTGTGAGCAAATTGCGCTGCCGAGTATCCTTTTCAGGACCAGGTTTGAGGCATCATGAGGCTATACTTTGAATGGCAGTCTAGGGACTTGCAGCACCGGACCTTGACAAGGATCGCGTTCTTCCTCACTGGGTTCATAGCTATCAGAGTCATGATCTGGGTATGACAGTCGAAGCTTGAGTGTACATTCGGCACGGAAAGTTTTGTTTATCAGAAACCATGTGGGGCAATGCTGGAGCACATCCTTATTGGTGACCATGATATCCGTTCAAGAAAACTTCTGGTGGAGGTAGGAGAGCATGTACAAATCGCAGAGTTCTCTATGCTATGAAGGATATGGCTTCGGGAGCTGCCGAACTTCAGGCACTGGGTAGATACAAGAAAACCCCAAAATGGTATATTGAGTCAAGAGGCAACAGCCAATCATTGCTAATTCCAGAGTATGTGCTCCGGAGGTCTGATGACAACAACATTGTTTGTTTTACAAAGGCATTTGTATGGTGCGCAGTATGTATATTCTGCTTATCGGAACAACACGGTGGGGTCAACACCTAGAACGTGGAATCTTTCCTATCCCTGGGAGGGGTGGCTGAGGGGAACTTGTGATACAAAACCTCGGAGGGCTAGGGTGTCTATACTAGTAAGGCCGGGATCATAGTGCCATGCATAGTCAATATCAGGGATTATCCTAATTCGACCGTGAGCAGTATTAGTACGTGCGGTTGTCGCGCGACTTTCAGACTATGAGTAGTCTCATGATTGGGCATAAGTCGCTCAGGGGGGAAGAGGCGGTCATTGCACACACATGAACCACTGATAAATTGTGAATTCTTCTGGGATCAGTAGCGGAATGGAGCTGAGTCGTATTCACTATGGAGCATTGGAGCATGCCGTGAAGTAACTGATGGAAATTCCCTTCAGCTCACAAACAACCACAAAAGACCCCACAAGTGGGGCACTGCAAATGCTGCAAATCAGGGACAAACACTGCAAACCGACGATGCAAACACAACGTCATCTCGCATTACTCCACCAGCCGTGGGTGATGTTCCTCGTATGGTTGGATATCAGTCTCAGTGACCATGGCATGCGTGACACACATTGGTGCAGCAGTTGGTGTCCAATTTTGGAGGTGGGCCAGAACTCTGGCCCTTACAGGATAGCCTGTGTTATTCTAGCCGTGGCTGACCTGCATTGCCCTTGCAAATCTCAAATCGGATCGATCTGCTTTGATGTCAGAGCGCACCCGTCAAACCTTCCATACATCATCCCAATCTGATATCCAAAACTGGACTAGTCCTTGTCGGTGGGGTGTTTGCAATAAGGAATACAGAATCAGCATGGATTATTCAGGAACAGCTCAATCCGTGGAGCTGGGAAGTCCGAGGGCTAGACTACTCCCATGCTTTATAAAGTTGCCTCTCTCTTCCGCAACATTCCAAACAAACCGGTTTTAACATACGAGGTTCAATTCTTCGTTCCTCTTCTGTATTTTCTATTAATTTCTGCGTGTGTCATACCATCTGCAGGGGACCATCTGTACTCCTCATTTACCCCTCATTGATCTGCCTTCCCAGAGCATATTCTTTGCCCTTGGCTACCATATAAACCACCCGGTTCGCCTGGCTATAACCCCCGCGGTTAAGGTACTCTATTAAGCTTGCAGCATTTCCTGGATTTTCTTTGTGGTTCTTGGAGATTTGATCAAAATGTCTCCATTGGCTCTCTCTCCTAAGACCGTTGACATTGTCAATATTTTTCAGAATGACGTGGAGTTCTCCCTCGTAAATGAGATCCATAAGGGCATTAGCCCTCCCACCGGCGTCAGGAAGTCAATGCCAACGATGCTTCTCTACGATGCCAATGGCCTCAAGCTTTTTGAGCAAATCACCTATGTGGAGGAGTATTATCTAACGAATGCGGAGATTGAGGTCTTGGAGATAAATTCCAGGAGGATAGTTGAACGGATTCCAGACAATGCGCAATTGCTTGAGTTAGGTAGTGGGTGCGTCATCCTTCCAAATCAAACCGTAACCTTTCAGGCTGCGTAGCGTATCAATAATGTTCTCCGGTTTTAACCGCCTTTCAGGAATCTTCGGAAGATTGAGATTCTGCTACGGGAGTTTGAGCGCGTAGGAAAGCGCGTGGATTATTATGCTCTGGATCTGTCCCTATCAGAACTGCAGCGCACATTCGCGGAAGTGTCCATTGACGACTACAAGCACGTTGGCCTCCATGGTCTCCATGGAACCTACGATGACGCCGTCACTTGGCTTAACAGCCCCGAAAACAGGGAGCGGCCCACGGTGATCATGTCTATGGGTTCCTCTTTAGGGAACTTTGACCCTCCCAGTGCAGCCAAATTTCTCTCGCAGTATGCTAGCCTTCTTGGTCCATCTGATATGATGATCATCGGTTTGGACGGCTGCAAGGACCCGGGCAAAGTATACAGGGCATACAATGATTCGAAAGGTGTTACACGGCTGTTCTATGAGAACGGACTAGTGCATGCAAACGTCGTTCTCGGATACGAAGCCTTCAAACCCGATGAGTGGGAAGTAGTGACAGACTACGATATTGTGGAGGGACGACACTGGGCAGCCTACTCACCTAAGAAGGACGTCACTATCAACGGGGTTCTTCTTCAGAAGGGTGAGAAACTTTTCTTTGAAGAGGCGTACAAGTATGGACCTGAGGAACGCGATCAACTATGGCGTGATGCCAAGTTAATCCAGACGACGGAACTTGGCAATGGGTCTGACAATTACCGTGAGTAGCAAATGATAGCCTCATTTCAATGGACGCATGTACTGACACTGGCTTTTTGCAAAATAGATCTCCATATCCTGACATCTGCTACTCTCAACCTCCCAACATCTCCTTCTCGATATGCAGCTCATCCTATACCCAGTTTTGAAGAATGGCAGTCTCTGTGGACAGCATGGGATACTGCTACCAAGGCCATGGTCCCTCGCGAGGAGCTTCTGTCAAAGCCGATCAAGCTACGGAACTCTTTAATCTTCTATCTGGGACATATTCCTACATTCTTGGGTCAGTCTACATGGCTTACTCTCAACTCATAGTCTGATGCTAATTATGCGAGCAGACATCCATCTAGCTCGAGCCCTGCACGGAAAACTAACGGAGCCAAAGTCCTATAAACTAATTTTCGAACGTGGGATTGATCCTGACGTAGATGACCCCCACAAGTGCCACTCTCATAGCGAGATCCCAGACGAGTGGCCAGCTCTTGACGACATTCTAGACTACCAAGAGCGAGTCAGAAGCAGAGTTAGATCCATCTACCAAACCGAGGGCCTTGCAAAAAACAGAATTTTGGGCGAAGCGCTTTGGATCGGATTTGAGCACGAGGTGATGCACCTCGAGACATTCCTGTATATGTTGATCCAGAGCGAAAAGATACTTCCTCCACCCGGCGCTGAACGGCCGAACTTTGAGAAAATATACCAAGATGCTCGAGAAAGCATGAAGCCAAATGAGTGGTTCTCCGTTCCTGAGCAAACACTTACTATTGGCCTCGATGGTGCTGATACCAATGACGTACCCCCAACGACCTATGGGTGGGACAATGAGAAACCTGCGAGAACAGTGACTGTTCCGGCATTTGAGGCACAGGGCAGGCCCATCACCAATGGTGAATACGCCAAGTACTTGCAATCGAATCAATCGCGCAGAAGGCCAGCGTCATGGGTCCTGACCCATTCGAATGAAGACTACACCATACCTAGGGCCGTCAACGGAAGCAGTGTTGAGGCTACGAAGGACTTTATATCCAATTTCGCTGTCCGTACTGTTTTTGGCCCAGTTCCGCTTGAATTTGCCCAAGACTGGCCTGTGATGGCGTCATATGATGAATTGGCCGAATATGCCGAATGGGCGGGTTGCAGGATTCCGACCTTTGAAGAGACAAAGAGTATCTATCTGCACTCAGTGCTATTAAAGGAGAGAAGCGTTGTGAAGCATAATGGGGAGCCCAACGGCCATAGGTTAGTGCAACTTCAATAGAACGCTACATCCTGGAGAGTAAGCTAGACTAACTGCTTTCAGTGCGAACGGCGATCTTAATGGAGTAAACGGAAACGGTTACTCAAAGATCAACAACCCCAGCAAGCCTCGTATGCCGGACCACCAGCCTGTACAATACCCTTCTCGAGACGCCTTGCCAGTGTTCCTAGATCTCGACGGACTCAACGTCGGGCTCAAGCACTGGCATCCTACCCCAGTTATCCAGAACGGCGATCGACTCGCCGGTCAGGGTGAACTGGGAGGCGCATGGGAGTGGACTAGCACGCCATTAGCGCCTCACGATGCTTTGAAGCCATGGAGATCTACCCAGGATACACTTGTAAGTACCAATCTCATAGTCGGGCACCCTCCGGGAGTTGATCATCAGATACTAATACCTCTCAGCCGATTTCTTCGACGGTAAACACAACATCATCCTGGGTGGATCTTGGGCTACTCATCCCCGCGTTGCTGGACGTACCACTTTGTAAGTTTATCATTATAGAGTCCCAGACACTATACAATGCTAACATAATCTCTAGCGTCAATTGGTACCAGCATAACTATCCTTATACCTGGGCAGGAGCACGCCTGGTGCGGGATCTTTAGTGGCGGATGAGGGGTTTGGGCATAGATTTCATGCTTGCTTATCTAGACCTCCAAGTTCTGAAACACCTGTCATTCTGTATATCTTTGCTCTACACTTCTATTGTCTTTACTTCCTAAGTATACGTGATCAGGAGAGTAGTACCTCTAAGAGCTGCACACTAATAGATTACTGCTTAGGGCATAGTATAGTGGGCGCCGCCACAGCGGGGAAGCTCCAACCGATAACGTGACGTAGATACCCCTCCAACTTATCAGGCTGTTCTTTATACATGCCCGGGACAATTACCCAGATTAAGGTTCATTGCTTCGTCTTGATCTAGAGGTTACGAACGGACAGCTTCAATATGTCTCTCGAAACCATCACGACCATCTCGCCCTCCACGAATCAGCCAGTTGTCACTCGGACGGGCGTCACCTCCGAGGACCTACAACGGATCCCGGAGGTCGCGCAGGAGGCCTTCCGATCATTCTCTCAGTCCACCTCTCTCAAGCAGCGTCAAGAGATTGTCACTCGTGCATTGGACATCCTCGAGAAAAAGAAAGATGAGCTTGCGCGCGAGCTAACCGAGCAGATGGGTCGCCCGATCGCATATACCGGTGTGGAGGTAATGACAGCTATCAAGCGCAGTCGCTACCTGACCAAGATCAGTGACTCGGTCCTGGGTGACGAGGGCGTTGTCCCCGGTGAAGAGGAGAAGGGCTTCAGGCGCTATATCAAGCGGAAGCCCGTTGGTGTGGCCTTTATCATATTTGCCTGGAACGTACGTTAGCATTACACTTGGGCTTGAGTTACTCGCAGGGGAAATATACTAACGTTTTACTTTCCATGGAATAGTACCCCTATTTGATCCTTGTCAACAGTTTGATCCCTGCTATTCTGGCCGGAAATGCTGTCATTTTGAAACCCTCCCCTCAAACTCCGACCATAGTAGAGCAATTTGCCACTGCCTTCACCGAGGCCGGGCTGCCTCAAAACGTCATCCAATATTTCCACTGTGGATCCCCTACATTACTTGAAACTATTGTCCGGTCACCTTTGGTTGACCACATATGTTTCACCGGCTCCGTGGCTGGTGGCTTGGCCGTTCAAAGGGCCGCGTCAGACCGCATTGTCAATGTTGGGCTGGAGCTCGGTGGCAAAGACCCAGCTTATGTTCGGGACGATGTGGATGCGGCGTGGGCGGCGGAGGAGGTCGTTGACGGAGCTATCTTCAACAGTGGACAAAGCTGCTGTGCGATCGAGAGGGTCTACGTGCACAAGAATATCTACGATACCTTCGTTGAGGAAGTCAAGAAGGTCCTAAGCAAGTATCGTGTCGGAGATCCGTTTGACGAGCAAACACAGATCGGGCCTGTAATTTCAAAGCGTGCGAAGGACACGATTCAGTCCCATATCGCCGATGCGGTACAGAAGGGTGCCAAGGATGAAACTCCAGCAAATGAGACATTTGAAAACCCTCCTGCGGGTGGAAACTACGTCAAGCCTACGCTTCTGACGGGCGTGAACCATGACATGGTTGTTATGACGGAGGAGACCTTTGGACCTGTCATTCCTGTTATGAAGGTCAACAGCGATGAGGAGGCTATTAGGCTGATGAACAACAGCGAGTTTGGACTGACTGCCAGTGTCTGGACCAAGGATGTGGCTAGGGCTGAGGAACTAGTTGAGCAGGTGGAGGCGGGAACTGTCTTCATTAACCGATCTGACTATCCTAGTCCGGTGAGTTCTAATATGGACCAATAACTGATTGCCTTGGTGGACCTAAGATGATGCTGACTGTTTCAGGATCTCGCATGGACCGGCTGGAAGAATTCGGGACGGGGCGTAACTCTCAGTCGATTCGGATTTGAGCAATTTGTCAAGCTCAAGAGCCACCATATCAAGGCTTACCCTAAATAAAGTGGATCTCTTTTAGCTGCAATGATTAATGAATGTCAACGATCATATATAGCAGGATAGACTAAAATGATCAAGGCGAACTAGGGTACGATTGCTTAGGAGCAGGTCCCTGGGGATATATGGGGGAAACCTAATACTTCCTCGCTCCCTTTTTCTAGTGGTTATAATCTATAGACAAACAGCTACTTGCCCCACTGTCATGGATACCCATACATTCGGTTGATTCTGAATGATGAATATGATTACCGATCCCCCCAAGCTCGCAACATGTACCCAAGAATATATTTTTTCGCAGTGGAGAATATAGAGCAACCCAAAAAGCCGACAAGGACAACACGAGCAACCCTAAACAATAACCACTACACGTAAGTATCACTTAAAAACTCATGTATCAAAGCATGACTATATATGTAGGCTAAGTCGCACACAATTACTTGACAACAAAACTAGGCAAAACTAAGATCTATCAATCTATTTGCTTATAATACATAAGTGAGGTACGATCTCCAACAACTGGTTTCCATAGTCTAGTGGTTAGGACGGCGGTCTCATAGCAATATGACAATTCCTAGCTAAAGGAGTTGCAATCCGCAAGCACGAGTTCGATTCTCGTTGGAAGCACATATCTTTTTGCATTTTCTTTTTCTAACTTCTTCCCTGGGACGAGATCTCTTTTCGAATATTCATTCGCATAAATTTAAAATAGGTACGGCGTACTCCTCGTTTACCCAAACTCAAATAGTACTTTTACACATCATTGATGTGAATATCGTCCAGGCCAGATCTGATCTCACACCCGACCAACAAGACCGTTCTAGATCGACGCTTGGCCTGCTTCCGCTTGCATTTCTATTTTCGACGCCTCCGTATGTAGGCCAAATATGCACCATAATCAAGATACAGTCGCTTCTAGATCCCCTGAATAACTTCTATTCATGTACCGATTACTCCCTATGTATCTAACACATATGTCATTACTAAAGAAAGAATAACGTATGGAGACCCGATTACGCAGTCCACCCTATAACACACGCCCCGGGGTAAAACACAAGGTCCTCAAAGAAACGAGCGTACGTTCATTGGGGCCCCATAACGCCCATCTTATGAAAATCATTCTTGAGAGGATTAATAAAGTCATACGAATAGCGAAGGCATCAACCGGATCGGAAGATCACTTCGCTTAAGTCAATGGACGGGTTCTCTAATCTCTATCATAGTTTTCGGCCGTTGGTGGTATGTATCGACAATCCATACATTGATCAGTTCAGCGCAGCCAGACATACCATGAATCGTAGATAACATGGCCCCGACCCAATCATCATGCCACTCACCTCCTCATTTCCCCTATTCTTCTCCACGGAGTACAAGGCAGATACTGCTATATCTAGGCATCCGAATCCACAGAAACCACATCCCCCGGAATAGGTAACTCTCAGCTAATCTACACCGCCAATAAATCGGATTTCGACCAGTCATTCCAGGGCCCCAACATACCTAACCCTCGCCTCCATCTTAGGCTTTTCCCTTTTCTTTTCCGAAATGGGGCGCAAACGGGGCAAAAGGGAGTAGCGAAGATGTGAGAAAGTGAAGTAAGTGGGTATGCGGTGACCGATCCACTGATCTCCCGCCCGCTTCCCCCCCAGACCCCATTTCAATGCCCCCCTCATCTATCCGTCCCCTTTCTGTTTTCTTTCGATGAATTCTCCGTGCGGAGTGGAATAGGGGGAGTGACTTCGAAAGTCAAGAAAGAAAGAGAAACGAGACCGGGAACGATAGCTGGGAAAGGGAGGGACACACGAATCTGCCGTCCTTTTTTTTTTTTTTGCGCGTAATATTGAGCCACTGGGAATGCGTGAAGTCAGCTAGGTGTTTCCCGACGCAAGGGAGAACAGATTCCGGGCGTGAGGACATCTCTTGCTCGGACTTGGGAGCCGTGGAATGCAATAATATCGTGTTTAATTGGGGAATGGAGGATGGACTCTCGGGTCTCAGAGTGCTATCTATTCCCTTTCCCTTTTTATTTCTTTT